TATGTGTATGTATGTGTATGTATGTGTATGTGTATGTGTATGTATATGTATATGTATATGTATATGTATATGTATGTGTATATGTATGTGTATGTGTATGTGTATGTGTATGTGTATGTGTATGTGTGCATGTGTGTACGTGTGTATGTGTGTATGTGTGTATATGTATTTGTTTGTGTGTGTGTATATATATACATACATACATATATATATATATACATATATATATATATGAGGCTCATATACATATACATACAAATAATAATGTGTACACGCGCAGTTTTCTAAAAAAGAACGAAAGCCAACGTGACATGTGTGCACTGCCCTGCTGCCGGAATTCCCAGAGCAGATGGAATCTCTGGTCCCTTGGACCGGGTCGGAGCCTCTGGCCAGAGCTCTCGCGAACAGCGGTAGATCTCCGCCAGAATCCGCAGGCCTCGCGAGGTCGCCAAATATGGGAAACCAGCCAGGCCCTGCTCCTAGGAGGCCGTCCGACCTTCCTAGTTCTTCTTGCTTCAAAACGGTTTCACCGGTCACTTTTTACGCACCTTGACCAAAGCTGCTGAATGTATGGAGCCCGAGTGGCAAAAAAACACAGCCCGGGCTGAAACGGAAGCTTGCTGAGCTCTTGGCGCAGCACTGCCGAGTCCGAACCTACGTCACAGTGGATGGCGTGAGTCATGAGCCAACAGCCCCAAAAAGCCACAGCTCAGAATTCCGGCCTAAGGCTTGCAGGAACGCCGGGCCGTAGTAGATGACGAAGGCCGGTCCGGCCTTGCCGCGGCACTGAGCCGCTAAGCTCATTGCAACGTAGGACGTAGGCTGCTTGGCCTTCTGCCTCCTTCTCTCGGAATGTGGGTTGCATGTGTCCAATGTGGATTTTGTCGATGTCGCACAATCGGCCGTAGGGAGCTAATCATGCAGTGCAACCTACACAGCACTTGTGCTCCAACCGCCTCCACGCACGCGCAGGAAATGGGTGGAAATTCGGGCGCAAGCCGGTTTCGACAGGACCTCCTTCGGCACCAAGGTTGGAGTGAAGGACTGGCCTCGCCGTGGAAGCAGAGTGTGGGGTTGACATGAAAAGGGTTCGGTTTTGGATACTGGTCTCTCTGCTGCAGCTGCTTCTCGGACGGAAGCGCCTGCACAGCCCGTTCGTGCCATTTCCACACTCAAGACCTCCTTGTCCTGCACCAGCAGAGTTTAGAAGTTTGCCTGGGCCTGCAGACCAGGTAGCTCCCACAACGTTTGAAGTGTACATATTATGCAAAGCCACAAGCCCTGCAAGGTGAGGACTGTAACTACATGTCCCGACTTCCGATATTCCTCCCGAACGTTTCCAAGATGTCCTCCTGTGGCAACTCGAGGTTGAAGGCATCCACCACCGTTCGCCCATTTGCCTCGACACTCCGGCTGAATCTCGCGACTCTTGCTCGCAGAAAGACCCAACTGCTCCACCTGCACAGGACCTTTCGGGAATTGCTGAATGTATAATTTGGAGCTGGAGGCCGAGTCTGTGAGCACTACTGTAGTGCACTGCAGCATTGCTCCTAGGGGAGGCGAACCTCCGAGAATCGGTAGCACTGCCTATGCTACTTGCGTCTCCCACATCAAACAGAAGCTTGCCCGCCGCCTGTGCCATGCAGAGGAGGCGCATGGCGGCGATAGCATGAGGACCTTTGACTGGCAAAATGTCGGCCAACGTTTGCGATCTACAGCTCATGCAGCGGCGGAAGCGGGAATAACTTCTCGATGAACGCTCTAGGTTCACATCAAAAACCTATGGCCTGCTGTGACTGGCTGTCTGAACAGCCCAAATCCATGGACCCGAGGCTGGCTTGCGTCAAACCCATTGCAGCCCGGCCCGCCTTCTGGAGCCTCTTTCAGGGAGGGCACGTGATCAGTCCACCGGTACTTGAGGTATCTCTCCATGACCTCCAAGTTATGTGCAGCTTGCGGCAACCGCAGAATGTGAGCCGTTTAACGCACAGCACTTTCGGGCCGCACAGGAGCTGACTGACCACTTTGGTAAATTTCCCTTCGGCCCCAGCGTGCGTGACAGGCGGTCTGCATGCGTCTTCCTCAGCCCGATGTGGGCAGAGTTCCAAAGCAGCCGTGAAAGGGCGAAGTAAAAAGACTTCTGTGCGGCCATCGCTGTGGAAGGACCGAGACAGGTCTGCAAAGCAGTCAAGCAGGGTTCTTTTGCTTCGAGGCTTGAGCAAAGGCAGAGGTTGGAGGTTGGAGTGTCAGGAAGACTGCAGCATCACGGGATCAACATTTCCAAGGGCATGTTCTTCCTGCCTGCGTCTCCGTTGCAGACGTGATGCCCTCGATGAGCTTGAAAGATTGCAGAAAGCTGTTCAACACCTTTGCGCGCTGCGGACTTCGGCTTCTGTTTCAGTCTACACGCCTGTTGCATCTGCTCTGCCTATTAGGGGCGAGGCGTGCAGAGGGAACTTGATCACAAACTTCTCACAGCCGCCGAGCGGTGTTGGCTCAGCACCGGCCTGGGAACTTCGAGAAACGGAAGAGCAGGCCGCAGGGCCGCAGGGCCGCTTCCAGCGAGCAGGCGGTTCGGGCCGGGTGTCCGGGTGTCCCACCAAGTCGGTAAGCCAATGTACAAAATAAAGAGCCACATCTCTCGCCCCGGCGTGTAGCCTTGCAATGCACAGAAAGCAGCATGAAACTCCGCCCAAGCAATTGCTGGGCTCGGGGCCGCCGATCCTTGGCGATGGCTTCACGAAACTTCGTGAAGATGGCTCCTGGCGGGGCCTCGCGTTAGCCACGTTCGGTCCAACGCGGCACTTTCCGTGGCCGCCAGCGAATCCGAACCGTCTCCAAGTCGCGAAAAATGCCCTACAGTCCGAAAGTCCGAAAACCAGGCGGCCTCTGCCTGCACGAGCCAACCTCACTGCGAAGTTGTGTTGACTCGACTATACTTCGTGCGTCCTGAGATCTGAGATGCCGGCCATGGTTGAAGCAAAGATTGCACCTGAAGCGGTTCGGATCTTCCCGGGGCACTGCCATACCGCAGAGAATTCTGACTTTTTTGACAGCCCGATGAGTTCTCGCGTGTTCTCGGCAGCTCTTGATGCTTGGCAGGGCCCCCACTGTGTGAACTGCACCGACTGACGCTCCGCCGGGTCAAGCTCCTTGAAGGAGGGCAGCAACTCCGTGTAGTGGTCCTTTCGCGATCTGCTGATTGAGAATCACGGCATGTCAGAACGAACAGCTACCGGGGCTACAAGGCCATGAGCACCGTCCAGGATATAGCACAAGGCGGTGTCGTGATCACCGATCACGTCACCGGCTGCATAGCCTCGACCGGTCACACTCCGAACTTCATGCTCGCTTAAAGCATAGTGTGCATGCGCATCTGTCGGATCTATCAATCTCCGGCATCTGAGTTCCCGTGCCATGATAGCCGTGGTGCTCTTGCTGTACCTTCCGCCACTCCAAGGATGCACCATACCTTCCCTTTCACATGCCCTTCCGCACCGTTGGCAGCAAGTTCTCCATCTTCATGATGTCATGGATCGCGGTCAAAGCCTTACACATGAGGTTGCAGTGCTTTCGACTCTTACCGCCCTCGCAGGAGCCAGGTCTGATGCTGCACGGAACTTCTCTACTGCCAGGCTCTTGATGGTACGAGTAGGGCACCACTCAACCAAGACTCACCTCCCTGAGCCCCATACGCGTCTCCTGCACTTTGTAGGCTGTCCTCACAGCACTGGCGACATCTGGCGACGCATCGAATCGCAGGCTGTGTCAACACTCTCGTGACGGTGATCATTGCATTGCACCGTCTGCATGTCGTCGTCCATACACAACTCATCCACGACAAAACACCGCTTTCAAGCGCGACGAACCTTGATCCAGCACTCGTCTCCTGCAACAAGCCGGCCTCAAAGCAACCGCATGTGTCGCGGGGTCACCAGGCGGCGAGGTGCACTTAACTGCAACGGCATCATGCCGACGAAGGTCGGGTTATCCCCCAATCAAAGCTCCAGGATGACAAAACACGTGAGACATGCTGGCACTTGAGCAGCGAGCATCCACCATGAGTCGGCGGAAGAAGCCCCACCTGTGGACACAGAGTTTGCGCACGGTTTGTTGTTCTTTTTAGTTCCAGATCTGTCGTGCAAATCTTGCCTGCAACTGACCACGGCATGGCATGCTGGCAAGTTGACTTGAACATCGTGCGCTTCTCGGGGGCACGCTGGGCATTGTTGAAAAATGCCAGGCGGCGATCAACCTTGTAGAAGCCTCTGCCGGCATAGGAACATGGTTGAAAGTGCTTGTAAGCAAGCTGCACGGAACAGCAAAGCCATGCCAGTCATTTCGCAAAATGCACGGCAAGGACTTGAACCGCAAACGCACGACTGACCCAGCTCCACTTGGCCACGGGCGTTGTTGCAGCTCCGGGGACACGGTCCGTGTTTGGACCGCCACCTCTGTAAACCAGAAGCACGGTGGATGCTGCCGACTGCGACGCACGCTGCTTTCTCACCAACATGAAAGTAGAAATCATAAATTGTGTGCATGTTCGCGTGATCATGGTGTCCGTAATTATATGCAGCAGCCACATGTTCCGAAAGGCTTCCTGACAGTGTCTGGGTCGTGACGAAAACAGCGGTTTCGAAGGGCTTGCCGAGCCTGCCCCTCCTGCAGTGCGGATTCCTGCGCCGCCATGCCAGTCGGCAAGCGAATCAGGAAAGTCGGGAACACGAGGTTGTCCATTGAAATTAGTGCCCACAGCCCACGATGGTTCACAAAAACAGCAACAGCAAAGCGCTCAAGCGCACGACCAAGAGTGTGCCTCCTCCTTGAGCTCCAGTTTTTGCAGACGCAACAGCAAATCACAGGCCCGAGAGGGCAGCTCCTTCAGAACATTCCAGTCGATGTCTGTGCCGAAGCAGAAGCCCTGACGGCCATCTGTGTCCAGGCCTGATCGGCAGAAGGCTGGTGATGACTTTCTGGGTCAAACTTCTGTGATCAATGCGGTCTGTGAGGTGCAGGCGCATGAGCCAGTAGATGGCGAAGAAAGCACAGACGGTGCGCTGATACCTGCGTGAACTAGGGAGTCCAGTCCCGTGGAATTTCGAGACGCTGAGGGAAAAGGCCATGAAGGGAGCGAGACTCAAGCTTTGCATGCTGAGGAACTCATCGTCTGTCGTTCGACCCGATCCAGTCTCCCCCACCTCATCCATGCAAAACGCCGAATGCTGACTGGACAGAGGTCTCGCACGTCGCTCTGGTGCTCGGCTAATGTGGGGCCCGGTCTCCATCCCGCAGGTATAGGGACAGTTCGGGGAAGGCTGCAAGGTCCTGGCACTGCCCAGAGCAAACCGGGTCCCATCACAGTAGGGTGCAAACAACGTCTTCCGATAAAATCCGGAAGCCAGCCGGAAGTTATGCTTTCTCGCGCTGTCCTGAGTGAACTGCGCTAGGGTATAGTCTTTGTCCATTATCCTGTTCGCCATCTTCCTGCAATCTGCACAGTTGCCGATGCTTTTCGATGCAAACCTGTTGCATAAGACGGACATGACACTTTACCTTACCCCGAAGACCACCTCAGCTCGCAAATACAACTACGCGACCGAATTCCGCTCTCCTCACCGTCTTCCAGTCGGTTCCTGAAGTTCCAGACTAAAGGGGGGTTCTTTGTGCTGGAGCTCTGAGGACCGCTGATCGCCTGGAGCACTGCATTAATCACCGGCTAAGATGCCAAGGCCCGTGCTCTTATTCGCTAGGATGCGACGCAGATGGGCATTGGGAGCACCTCTCCTCAAGACGAGCTGTCGGTTTCACTGCATCACTTCTTCGAACAGACTGCCTCTGCTCAGAAAACTGAATTTTCCGTTGACGTGATCGAAAAGCCCTGATTGAATCCCGCCAATACTCAAACGGCCCAACAGCTCCAAGAACACTGCAAGGCTACATGTCTGAGTGGGTCGACTTGGTCATGTTGGCTTCTTTGCCAGCGACGCCCTGCAAAGGCCAAAGGCTTTCAGATGATGGAGACCCACGCACCCACCAGAACCATGCAAGGCATGGTCGGAAACATGACATACCAACTTAGGAGCACGCTGGATTCATGGATGCCGTCTTGGATATGGCCGGTGCCACCGGAACACGCTTCAGGAATGTCAGCTCCGCCTCCTGGGCATGTCAGGGCAAGAAGGTCGCCGATGGCTGCCAGCACTTTTAAGCGGGCACTTCAGCGGCCCCGGTCGCACCGAAGCAATTTCCAAGAGCACTATCGAGCTCCGGGGCGAATGAACACACCAAAAATGCCCCATTATTGGTATTGAGTAATGAGCTTCAGTGGTCATCTCCGTCATCCTCGTCCACGCCAACTCCATTACCACGACCACCAGCCACAAGGCTCATGGCCAGACGTGTCACCAAAAACAGCATGAATGCATGTAACCGATTAGTGCCAGGGGGGGCCCTATCACTAAAAGCTTTGTTCTCTTATTCTGCCCCCCGAATTGTTTTGGGGGGTACCCAATAATGAAAAGCTGTTTTCCATTCTGATCCCCACTTTTGAGGGAAGCATGGATTGGGCTCCCGTTTTTGTTGGAAACACGGGTTCCCTCGGGACCGCGCGAGGCGCCCGATGGAGGGAGACTCACCGCCTCGGTGCTTGGAGATAGGCAAAGAAAGACATCTCTCTCTCTCTCTCTCTCTTGCGCTGAGGCCCCGTCAGTCTGAGCGTGGCAGACTGCACAGGCATGAGACAAGCTTCACAGATGTGAGTACAGCTTGAACTACAAGACGCCGTGGCAGCTATGTAAAGCTCGAGCAGGCCAAGCCTCTGCCCGGCACAAGCCTTGCACGAAGTCGCGTTTAACAGGTACTGGCCACTTCCCACTTCGGAAAGAACAGCTGGAAGCTGCAAGACAAAGGTACTTTTGCCTACACTAGATTTGTCGAAAGACTGCAGACATGCCTGGGCCTTGTCAAATTCAGTGCACGGCATCCAGAACCAGACATTGAGCTGAGAACCTTCGGCGCAACTCTGTTGAAAAGAGACATGCAAGCGGACACCATCCAGACACTTCTATTCACGTTCTGCTTGCTGTCCAGTAGTTCAGTAGTGGCATGTGCTGTGCTTCAGGCCGATGGGGATGGGCTCTTTGCAGTGAAACCTGCAGACAAAGCGGCGGAGCTGTCACGGAACATGGGAAGCGGAGCTTTGGCCGAAGCCGGAGTAGTGTGTGAGTTCCCTCATGTGCGCCGAAGTGGAAACATCCAAGCCAGGACCACTCTGTCGAAAAGTCTTATCCGGGCTTTGGGCCTCTCCAAGCTGAAGTGGCCGTCTGCTGTAGCGAACTCCTCCCGTCAGCGCTGTCTTTTTGGCTTTACTTAGGCCTAGGCCTAGGCTCTTGTTCTGCTGTCCTGCCCCAGGGGTAGGCCAATGCCCGCTACCTCGAGGCAGATGCCAATTCTTGCTGCGAGCTTTGCTAGCATCTGCCGTTGCTGGGTCCGGGACCTTGCTGTGGTCTGGATTTACGACTCTGAACGTGACCTGGCAACGAGGGTTTATAGGTCATGTCACGCTGGCATGAGACTCAGCGGGCCCGGTTGTCGCGGCGGAGCGGCCTGGTGCACACCGTACAGAGTAGTCAACCCAGGATAGCCCTCGCTCGCGACGTTGTCGTCATTCTGGTAGGTATACCTTCATCGTCTGTCCCAACATGGATTCCTATGCCGTCGCAACGTAAGCTCATAGAATCGGTTCAGGACGATGCAGGAAGCAATGCCCTAACGGGCTCTGCAGAAAACCGAAAAAAAAACAGAAACCAGGTGCCGCGGACTGAGTGCGGGACGTATTGGCAACTTCCTTAAGTTGCTGCTGAGCAGTTGTCATGGAAATTCCAAGCCTCTCTTCCAGAACAGACATACAGCAGCTGCGCCAGGACTCCACATACTCGTAGTCCTCATTATATACATTAGCTTCACAGGACGGCAACAGGGGGCTGTCTGTCGGCAGCTTCCAGGCGAGCCTTCGTAAGGGAAGCTGTTGGCGCTGGATCTGCTGTCCATCGTGCATGAACTGCAGTCGCGACAAGACGACGTGATCCACACCATCGATGTCTGCGACCAGACGCAACTTCAATAGTCGAGTGACCCGCTTCAGCCTCGTCGTCCCAATTCCAGTCAATATGCTTCCATGCTGGATGAAGAGTTCCCAAAAAAGATGCTCGATCGATTTTGTCCCATGAGAGCCCCAGCTCGTAGTGTCTACCCCGTGGCTTCTCAGAACATTCTGCAACTCCTCGATGCCAGTCCTGTCCAGGCCACTTGCCTTAGCAAGTACCGGCATCGCAGCCTGCACTCGCAGGACTGGTACACCACGGAGCTTCCCGGTTTGACCTGCATGACTCGCTCTGCTCGAAGCATCGCTGCTTCCTCTTGTTGATGTGAGGTCATCCTCGATCTCTTTGTCAAGATAAAGGAGGGACAGACTCGAGGAGTGATCTAGGTCGCAGACAACCCTCTGCGACTCTCCCTGGCAGCAGCTTTGTGAAATACCCACCCCCATTTTTGGCAGAGGCAGGGCAGGAGGCTATTGACCTACTCCGCACCTGCAAGCCTTGGGGCAATGGGGTTGCCGAAGCTTTACCAAATCTCTGAGCAACTATTCCAGAGAAGGCCCGCTGTCTCTACTTGTACTTACTACAGCTGACTTGGATCATGGCTCGGGCCACTGGGCTGCAACATCCGGCCGGTCTTGCAGAGTGTACTGGGAGAGTCTGTTCCATGGTAAACCCCAACCTGAAACCCAAACTTCGGCAACCTGTGTATAGCATCCCAGGGCTCCAGAATTACTTTTGGTATTTTTGTTTTCTTTGCGGAATTGTTTGTTTTCTTTTCTTTCAAGCAAACTCTGGCTAATTTGGAAGTTCCACACCCCGGGTGCCCCATCAATTGTGTCTTTTGTTTTTGGTGTCACTGGCCTTCTTTCATTGGGTTTCGGCTTCGGCCTGGGTTTACTCCTTTCAGGGTTTCGGCCCGGGTTTACTCTTTTTGAAGTTTCGGGGTCCGTTTGATCCTTTCAGGGATTGGGCCTTCTTATATTAGGGTTTCGGTTTGGGTTTGCTCCTTTTAGGGCTTGGGCCTGAGTTTAGTCATGTTTTCTTTCATGAGGGTTTCGGTCTGGCTTTACTCGTTTTCGGGCTTCGGCCTGGGTTTACTCCTGTTTTCTTTCATGTGGGTTTCGGTCTGGGTGTACGTACTCCTTTCAAGGCTTCGGCTTGGGTTTCGGGTTTCGGTTTTCTTTCAAGCTTTCATTCAAGGTTACCTTTCATTTTTTCGTTTGGTTTCGGGGTCGGTTTACTCCGTTTAGGTTTTAGGCTTCCGGCTTGGGCCTTCTTTCATTAAGGTTTCGGTCTGGGTTTACTCCTTTTTGGCGTTCGGCCTGGGTTCACTCCTTTTAGGGTTTCGGTGTCCATTTACTCCTTTCAGGCATTGGGTCTTGGTATTTTAGGGCTTCGGTCTGGGTTTGCTCCTTTTAGGCCTTCGGCCTGGGTTTTCTCCTGCTTTCTTTCATTAGGGCTTCGGTCTGGGTTCACTCCCGCAACGATGAACATAGGTCATGAAAGGAGATAAGGTCTTCCAGAAGTGCAAAGGGGCCACGCCCTCAGCTCCAAGTTGGAGAAACCCATTCTGGCAGTGGAGTATGGTGGCCAAAAGGCAACCTGCATGCAGCCAAGTTGTTCTTATCATGATCAGTGTGGAGATGCTTGTCAAAAGCAGCCAAGGACATATTGTCTGGAGACACGACAATGATGTGTTGATCATCGATATACAGGCCTGGCCGTTCTTCTGCTCGTTGGGGTCCACGAATAAAGGAGTGCCCTAAAACTCTTGTGATTCAGAAAATTTGCACAACTAAGGAGCAGATGGCACAGGGATCTGGAATAACTAGTCAGACCCCGACAAGGTAGATATTGGCAATCTGGTGGAGGATGATGACAATCAAGTGGTTGGTATACGGCTGCATTCAGCAACAGTACAGCATAAAACCCATGGCGGTGGTAACGAGGGGTGGGAGGAATGGACTACCTGCTCGGAGGCCCACGTTGCCTTGTGCCAAAGCCTACCAATACTAATGTTTATGCTAATACTAATACTATTACTATTGCTATTACTATTACTATTACTATTACTATTACCAATACTGCTACTGCTACTACTACTAGTACTACTACTACTACTACTACTACTACGACGACGACGACTACTACTACTACTACAGCTGCTGCTGCTACTACTGCTTCTACTACTGCTACTGCTACCACCACTACAGATGACACAACTAATACCAGCTGCTAACAACTAACCCTGAACCCCAAACCCGATGCTCGCGCATGGCGCGCGTAGATACTGATACCCATGTTGATACTAGTGCTGATACTAATACCAACACTGATATTGAAACTGACACCGATACTGACACTGATACCACCACTACTACTAATCACGATAATGATAATAACAGCAAAAATACTAATACTAGCACAACACTGATATGATTACTAACATGAATACAAATACTATTACTGATTCTATTGTAACCGCAATACTAACTACTAAACCTAAACATCTAAACCGGTGCGCGCACCGGGCGCGCGCAACCCTAAACCCTAGAACACTAAACCCTGAACCCTAAAAACCCTAAACTAGGCCCTTAGTATTCGTGACTAATACTGATATTTATACGAATACAAATACTCATACTCGTAGTATTCATACTATTATTCTCACTTGTATTAACCAACACTAATACTAACGCTCATACTAAAACTTCCACCAGCACTAATGCTGATACTAATACTAATACTGAGACCACCAACACTTTCAGGGCTTCGGCCGTTTTCTCCTTCTAGGATTTCAGCTTTCTTTCAAGCTTACCTTTTACTTCCGCAAGGACCGTCGCCGAAGTTGACGCCCTCGGCCGCCATGACCGGGCGGTGGAACGCTAGACAGTGTAGCATTGTCTCCATGCTAGTCATGACGTGACGACGATCCCATCGCCTGTAACATTTGAGGATGTACCGTGGCTGGCTGTTCTGGTCTTGACGTATGGAGGCAATTTGTCTAACTAGAGGACTCGAGTCGCTTGAGGCTCCCTGGACTGACGGGTCGAAGCCCAAAACCACTGGCTCAAGATGTCGTTTTCACTTGGCCTAGGCACACAAACCCAACTGAAGTCGGTAGCATCACTGTACCTCTTTCTCCGCGCAAATGCCCAAAGTAAATTTCTTGCGACCTGCACCTCACGACCCTCGTGAGATGCGACAGTTCCGGCAAACCAACGCGCAGCGGAAACTTTCCATGGCGAAGTACGACAGCTCGACGAGGCATATCTTCAAGTCCCGATCTGGGGCAAGGCCGCACTCAGACCTGACACGGGCGACATCGGGCGACATCGCAGCCCCGGCCCCTTCAAAATCAGCGGTTCCACATCCGCAACATGCAAACCAACGGCACTCGAACCGAAGAGGACCCGAGGTGTTTCAACGCCTTGTGCAGCTTGATGGACAGGAGCTGGGAACCCGGTGAAGGGCCTGCAGAGTCAGCAAAACACGATGAGCCATTGAAGTTCTGCTTACGAGGCCGTCGCCTCTGGAAGAGGCGGTTGGTGACCTTGAAATTAAACGCCATAGAAATTAAACGCCATAGACAGCGTGCACACACACACACATGCACACACCGGACCTCACAACCGTGTGAGGTCATGCAACACACTTACCAATCTTACCAAGCATGCAGCTTCTGCAAAAAGTCTCCATCCAGAAGGTGTCTCATCTTCTTTGCCTCGCAATGGACGAAGCATCCTCTCAATTCCCTCAATTGATTATCAAGATTGCACAATCCTAGCGCCACCCCTCTTCAGGGGCAGCAGCCCAATCGTGCGCAGACTCTGTCGCATGGTCCTGCTCCAGCACACAGATTAGTTCGTGCTGGCCTCTGGTGCACGAGTACCGGGTCAACGATCAACCAGCGCGAATGTCACGATCAAGGATCAAGATGATTAGTCACAATGAGGACCCTACTGGCACTGCGTCAATCGTTGATGGAAGTAATGATGCACAATGATTTATTTCGAGAACTTGTCCGTTGCCCGAGGCTGTGAATAGGCTCAACAGCTCATCCAACTGAGCTCTATTTGGGACAACTAGCTCCTGGGCCTTTTGTCTGATGCCCGAGCGGTGAACTAAGAATCCCGTCCTCGGAGGACTGCAGAGACTTCGCAGAGTGGGGGTTGTGCCAGTCTGGCCAGTCAATGATGTCCTCGATTCGAGAACATTAGTCTATCCCATGCCAGCGGCAGTGAAGCGTTGCATCTCTGTCTCTGGCATACTGCTTATGAGTCGAACGAGGGGTTTTGCGAAGGGGTCAAACTGCGCCGGAACCTTGGACAGCTGCGAGTCGTTGCTTCCTCAGCGTGTTCACATCTTTGCATGCTTGAAGAGCGAGGACATAAGCTTCAACCGAGCCACTGAAGACACTTGTAGCTCGAAGCCTGCACAACCACGGAGTGCCGTTGCTCTTCAGACTCTGCTGTCGACCAAGCGCCCGGCTCACTGTCACTACCCGTCTTGACCGACTGGTCATGCCTTCAAAAACCAACAAGTCGATGTCGAACTTTCTCCGCGCGACGGTCGGTGTTTGTGAAGTTGGCAGCTGTGCCGGCTGTGCATTTGACGTGCTGTCAAGCAGGATCTGAGATCTGAACGTGAACTTCTCGAGCCACTCCTTGGGACTTGTTGGAATGATTTGGAATGGTAGCAGCAAAAGCGTTCTGCTCTGGGCTGCTACAGTTTCATGCAGGCCAGCATCATTGGAGGAGTCCGAGAAAGGGTCCTTGGCAGTCAAGGTAGACCTCGGTCAAAGCGACACTGTCTTTGATCGCTGCAGCTGGGCTTTTCTTTTCTATTCCTGTCTGCCCTTCAACTCCACCGGAAGACTGAGCAGCCCACGGTGCCGGTGTCTCCACTGGGTCAGAAGCAGGCTGTTCATCGGTCCTGGTCTCAAGACAACGCAAGGATTAGCTTTTGTTCTTCGAAGCTTGCTCAGCGCATTGGTTTTCTCAGGCGGCAAGTCGAAGGACGCGACGCTACTGGCATCTTCAGCTTCTCACAGCTGTGGGCCGGGCATGTAGCCTGCCGACAGGCCGACAGAAAGTGGCGCCTGGAGCGGAGACAGCTCCTGATCATGGAGACCCCGAAAATGCCAAGAGCAAGCTTTCGCAAACGGTGGTCGTGGTGTTCGTGGTGTTCGTGGTGTTCGTGGTGTTCGTGGTGTTCGTGGTGGTCGTCGTTGTCGTCGTGGTGTTCGTGGTGATCGTGGTGTTTGTGGTGGTCGTGGCGGCCGTGGTGGCCGTTGTGGTCGTGGTGTCCGTGGTGATCGTAGTGGTCGTCGTGGTCGTCGTGGTCGCGGTCGTCGTCGTGGCCGTCGTGGTCGTCGTAGTGTTCGTGGTAGTCGTGGTGTTTGTTCGCGGTGGTCGTGGTGGCCGATGTGGTCGTGGTGTCGTGGTGGTCGTGGTAGTCGTCGTGGTCGTCGTGGTGTTTGTGGTGGTCGTGGTGTTTGTTCGCGGTGGTCGCGATGGCCGTGGTGGCCGATGTGGTCGTGGTGGTCGTGGTGGTCGTGGTGGTCGTGGTAACCGTCGTGGTAACCGTCGTGGTAACCGTGGTGTTCGTGGCGGTCGCGGTGGTCGCGGTGGTCGTGATGGTCGTGGTGGTCGTGGTGG